CTTTGCTCCCAGAGTCCAGGACTTCCCCCCATGGCTTGTGGGAACCAGAGATGGACTGCAAGGGTATCAGTCAGCACTGACATTTAGACCAGGATGTTGTCTTCTCCCACAGCCATATCCATATCCTCTGATCTCCCCACATAAAGAATTTGCCCTCTTTATACATGGGATGGACTTGAATAGCTTCCCAGATGAAGGTGGCTTTGCTCAGCTTACATCCTCATGAGCCCAGGGTGGGAAGCTGAAAGCCTGCTATAGAGGAACAGTAGTAGTGCATGTTTGACTTTGTCTTCAGAACGCTTTCCCATGACTAGAAGCACTAATACTTTTTGACATTTTATATCTGTAATACAATTCAAATGTAGCTAATTCTACCCATCATGCCTTATCTGTGTATCATGATGTTTATTTTACAGATGAACTGGCTTTTAAGTTAAGAGATGTGACAAGACCACTGACAGTGGCTTTGTGGTTATAGGTATCAGGAACTCTTGGCTTTCACACTTTCTGAAAGAAGACAAAAAGTTAATAATTTAGATTGATACTTAAGGATTTAGGAATCCAAGATTTAAATTAGACGTTCAGTCACTCTTTCAAATCTAGACTTCAATGTAGGAAACAGAGGAATGACAGCAAAATAAGTATTGACCTGAAGCAAAGGACCAAAAGCAGAGACCAGATAGAACCTGCTTCAGCTAAAGTGAATGGAAAACATTCAGAGTCTGTAGTGAGTGTTCAATCACATAGACATTATGCAAACTCAACAAATGTAGATTCCTCTCCTTATGTCCTAAAAGCCTTGTTTTGCAACTGGATGGCATGGTTTATTTTTCAGGGGCGCTCAGCACCCTTTGTTGCTCCAGCCACACTGTGAACAGCAATCACAGGGCCCATTTGAAAATCTAACTCCTTTACTTGAGATGCCTTTAACAGAGGTGCCAGGCTACAGCCACCTACATTGGAAAAGTTGAGTGCAAATCAGCGCATTGGAGAGAGGACTGACTGTGGGAGGGCAGCGCCAGAAGCGCCCACTCATGAGTGGGTCTGACACATTGCTGTTTTGCAACAAGAAGTGAACATTGCATGTATAGATCACTTACAGTAATAGGGGTGGCAGTCTGAGTTCAATCAATTATTTTCCCTCCCAAGATACAAATAAATGCAAATTTTATTCATTTACATTTCTCTTGCTGACATATTTGCTGGTGTTGATCCAAGTTTTTTTGCTTAGGTGTCTGTGTCTCTTCTTTTAATGCTGCAGTCTCACAGTTATTGCCTCTCTTCCCCTCTTCCTTGGTATTTTTTGCATTCCCAGATGGCCCACTCTGCTTCTTAACCTCTCCGCGTTTCCCCCGCCCCCACACCCACCCCCCCGTTGCAAATGGTAGAAACAACAAAATAAAAATATAGAGGGATCTGCAGCCCAGTGCTCAGGGAAGGACAACTCTCTATTCCCTTCCCTCCCAGATGGGAGTCAGGAAGCAGCAGGATCTGAAATCACCCCCACTCTGCTTGGCTGCCAGAGGGGCGGGAGCGGTAGAGATGTATGGAGGAGTAGCAAATTGTACAGCCACTCCGCCGCTGCAGGCTCAGCGCCTCAGAAAGCCCTCTTATGTTCCTGATGTGAAGAACTGCTCCTGGGCTGGTAGAGCCGTGCCCTGTCACAGTGGTCAGCTGGGCTGCACAAGCTCTCTGTTCCGTGTGCCCGGACATTATCATCTTCTGATGTTTGCTGCTGAAGGAGTTTGAATGAAGCTGAACACATTGCCATGAGCTGTGCAGTTGGTTGGGCGCAGGCGGAGTGGGGCAGATAGATAATCTGTGTGTGTGGGCATGACCAGTTCCCTTTAGAAACATATTCTTTAACTGCGTTTTGTGAAACCCACTTAATCTGTGCTTTTAAGGCTGAATCTGTCCCATAGCATAACTGCTCCAAGTGCAATGCAGATGAACAGTATTCATATATGGCAAGTGGTTTGATCCTCAAGGTAGTCTCCTCTGATATCTTTGAAACTGTGTGTGATTTCAAAAAGCTGTCCAAGTGTGTCATGCACTCTTTACCCAGGTGAGATATGTGACCTTATCCTTGCTGTCCTTTTTTGCCACCAATTAAAATGGGTGTAAAGCCGGGAAGCTGATGAACTGTGCCTCTGACATTGCTAACATCTGGAATTCGACTAACCACATCTATCCTGCAACTATAGGCGGGGCCGTAGCTGGGATTACCAGGATGTGAAATTTCTGATTTCCTGAAACAACTCATAAATTTTATGAGCTATTCTAGGGTCTTAGAATAATAGGATGAGGGAAAACCTATCTTCCACTTTGAAATCCTGCTACATTTTCAGATTTCTACTTCAGATCATACCTGGGAGAGGATGGCCATTACAGCGAAGTTAGGCTTGGTGTGCTTTGCAGGGCTTGTCACCTGCACTGGAAAGGTTTTCAAAGTAATGAAACCAAGACACACTGATCTTAAGCTTGTCTTGCTGTGAATTACACCAGCAGGAAAACTCTGCTTCTCTACCCACATAGCCAGGGGAACAAATTTATACGCTGAATGCTGCTTTCTGGTTTCTCATTTTACCTTTTGGGTTGGTTTAGATTTGTTTTCTTCACAGCCCTCAAGAGTTCCTTTTCCTTTTGCAGGTGGCACATTGGCAGATCCCCACAACCTAGTATGCTTCAGAGAACTGTCCTGTCTGTAAGTATAAGCTTCCTCTTGTTCCAGTGCCGCTCCAAAAAGCACAGGAAGAAAAAGAAAAACCGTTATTAATAATCCTCTAGGCTGACCTTTACATTTTCTTGGTATATTACATTCTCAGGGGTGTGTTCATCAGAAGAATGAACTCTCAGTCCCGGAGGAAAAGGCATGACAGCAGTGGAGACAGAGTGAGTCATGTGGGCATCCCGAGCCTGATGTGAGAGGGATTAATTCCTGCAAGGCGCAGCAACTGCTGCTGAAGCTTGGGCTCATAGTGATGTGTAAACTGAACTGGTCTGCTGTGTAATGATTTAATTTGTACGCTTACTAATTGCTGTAATAGCCAGGCTGCAGGGTATTGATTAGGTGCCTTGAGTGGTACATAGACAACATGATAAATGGGAAGATGTTCTCTCTCTTTGCTCAGGTGATGTCTTTCTCCAGGAAGAGACCCACTGACTTTCCACAGGATAACTTGCAGGAGTGAAGAGGTAAGAACCTGGCCACTAGTTACCAGGCCTGACTGAAAGTGAGTCAAATAGAAATGAACTTGAAGTAACTAACATCCTTCCTACAAGGGACACACACACACAGAGTGTCTCCTTAACAGAACAGATGAGTCTTTCGGGCATGTTCGCACTGTGAAGCATTTGCTCATGTCTCTGCCTGGGCCCAAACTCCCAGACCACTTAAACACGTTTCCTGAACTTTGTTCTGGCATCCCCACTTGCCGTCACTGATTGTTCCTGGAACCACTCTGGGAACAGGACGCCAAGGAGCCAGTTTGCAGAGGAGCCCGAGCTCCCTCCTGCAGGACAGGGCTCGGGGTGAGCCTCGCCAAAATGCCAGCGGCAGCAGCCAGGACCATGCTCTTCATTGCTGCCTTCCAGCAGAGGCTGGACCTGGGGTGCTGCTGCTCCTCTGCTTCAGCACAAAGTCAAATGGGTTTATTTAAGGCCAGATCTCAAGACTAGGAGTAACAAAAGGTACAAAAAAGAGATCTGGTTAGCTCACTTGGTTAACAGTGACCTTCATGGGCAGCTCCTAGCCTGTCAAAGCTGTCCTGCTGAGTCAGCAGCAGAAACACTCAAAAGGTTTTACGTATGATATGACCTGACCTGTTCAGCCTTTTGGGTGGTGGTAATAAAGAGCAAAGAGAGGGTCACTGCTGCCTTCTTAACAGATCTATCCTGCTGGCACAGACTCGCAGGAGATTTTGAAAGAGAAATTTGTATCAAGAAGACATCTAACTTGTGAGAAAGCACCGAAAGGAGAAACTGAGATTTCAGTGAGAGCCACAGAGGCTATTTGCAGAAGGTAGGCTACAGCACAGATCGCTGGTTGGAAAGCTCTAACTCCAGAGCACAGGATGTGTGGCCAGGCCCCAGAGAGTATTAGTCATATTGTAAGTGAATGTTCAGAGCTGGCCGGAGATGAGTATAAAATACAGTATGACAAAGTTGGCAGTACTGTGGATGGAGCGTGCTGCCAAAGAGGGGGATGTTACCACAGCCAGCATCATCACCTCAAGACAGGTAAATTGGTAACAACTGAGGAGTTGAATTTGTGGCTTGTAAGAAGACAGATGTGGTACCTCCAGAGGAGAGGGGGAGAGTGAGAGGGCAAGCTCCATCATTAACTTATCTGCTGAATGACAGTGTTGGTGCAAAATAACAAGGAGCCACTGATAAATATGTGGCAGGAAGTGAAGAAAAAATGGGGCATGAAAATGGCGCACGTCTAGGTGTCATGTATTTCTTTCCAGTGGGCTGAGATGTTGTGGTGGAGGAGTTCAGCCGCAGTGTTCAAACTAGACATAAGCTCTCCTGTGGACCAGGTTTCTTCCCACCCACCACAGCATCCCCACGACATCCCAAGAGGGTGGGATGACGCTCCAACTCCCGACCTGGACCCGTGGCTGGGGCAAGAGCCTCCACCGAGGTGGGGGTGAAGCATCAAACCAGCGACAGCTGCGGAGGTTTGGGGTGCTGGAAATGGGAAGAGCTGCCCGGCGGCTCCCCTGCCTCCCCTTGTCCGCAGGGATGGGCCGGGCAGTGGCTTCCCCGCGGGGCAGGAGCGAAGCGTGTGTGTGGGTGAGCCCGAAGAGCCGCGGCGGGACCCCCAACACCTTCAACCCGCGGGGGCTGGAGTGGCAGCCCACCCCCCCCCACCCCCCACCCCTCCGCTCGCCGGGAGGCTGCGGCGGGGGCCGCTTTCCAGAGAATACGGTAAACATGTCCGCATCACGTGTGGCCGCCGGCCGCGGCGCGGGGGACCGGCCGAGGGGAGGGGCGGGCCGGGACACCGCGCTCCGCAGCCCCGCCGGAGCGGGGCCGCTTTAAGAGGCCGCCGGGCGCCGCCGCCTCGCCCTGCCCGGCCCGGCCCGGCGGAGAGCATGCCCGCGGCGCGGTGAGGCGGGCGGCTCCGGCACCATGGGGCTGTGCTACAGCCTGCGCTCCCGCCTGGCCGCCGCGCACCCCTCCGCGCCCTACGGCGGCCGCGGCGGCGAGGCGGACATCCCCCCCTCCGCGGCGGCGGAGCACGGAGACCCGCAGGCGCGGCACCGGCTGCGGCAGGACCTGGTGGCCAAGGAGCGGGCGGACAAGAAGCGGAGCAAGAGCATCGACAAGACGCTGAAGGCGGAGAAGCGGGAGTACAAGCAGACGCACCGGCTGCTGCTGCTGGGTGAGCCAGGGCGGGAGCGGCCCCGCAGGTGCGGGGGAGGGGGGGGGCGCGGAAGCCGCGGTCAGCGCCGGTGCCCGGCCGCCCCGCGCTCGCGGAGTGGGCGGAGGTCGCGGGTGGGCCGGGGCGGGGCGCCGCGCGCACGTGGGGCGGGCCGCGCCTCGGCGCGTCCCGGCGCTGCTGCCCCCGGGGGACTCTCGGTGGGATCCCTGCCCCCCCCACGCGCGCACACACGCTCGCCGTGGCGGAGGGAAGCTGCGCTGGGGTCCCCGGTGCTGCGGGGGCTCGGGGGGGTCGTGCGGGCTGCGAACGCGGCTGTCGCGGTGGTGGGAGCGGGCTGGGGGCTCCAGGGAGGGGACGACCCTCGGCACCCCGTAAAAGGTGCTGGCTCGGTCCCCGCAAAGGGGCTGCGTGGGCTTTTCCTCCCGGCGGGCTGTTGACATACAGCCCCTCACTGGGACCACGGGAGAAGGAGAGTTCGTTGAGCTGCAGCAATTCTTCTGTAGAGAGAAAGCCTAAGTTTTTTTACGTGCGTTATTTTTTTTCCCTGTTGCTTTCTCCACCTCCCAAAATCATAAAATGGTTTGGGTTGGAGGGAACTATAAAGATCACCTAGTTCCAATCCCCCTGCCCCTTTCCCCAGCCCAGGTTGCTCCAAGCCCCATCCAACCTGGCCTTGAACCCTTCCAGGGAGGGGGCAGCCACAACTGCTCTGGGCAAAACACACTGGGGAAGTTTCAGTCTCTAAAGCTGAGCCTCGTTTAATTCATCGCTGCCTTGCGCTTCCGTGCACCAGCACCTGCTCCCTGCGTGGCAGCTTCTCCCTGCCCCTGGGCTCTGCAGGGCTGCCAGGCAGGAGATGCTCCTGCATGGTGACAGCTCTGGCACTGGGCTTCCTTCCTGAAGGAAGCACCTTCTCTTCAGTTGCTCGTGTTGTGTGATGTCTGAGCTTTTATGGTATGTGAGCCCAATGCAAACGGTCATAGAAAAGTCATGTATTGGCCTTCAGGGAAGGCAAAGAGGTTTGGAGATGTTTCTACTCCCCCCTCCCCCAGCACACTACAAGTGGAGCACAGACTATCCTGCACAAATGTTGGTAAACTCTGAGCATTTTGGAATAATAGAGAATATTTTCAAATGCCTGCAAATAACTTAAGAACCTCCTACCCCCTGAGGCGTGCATGGTAACACACGTGATAAATCGCAAGGTTTGGCCCTGATCTTTTTGGTATGTGTTTGTAGCCTGTAATAGAGGAGCTGAACTTTGAGGAGCTTTAGAAGATAATATTGGACGTAGTTTTCTGAGTCTTAGTGCTAAAAGATTTTATTCCAGAAGTACAACTTCTTTTGATGTGGTTGTAGCTGTAATGATGTAAGTCTGTTCATAAAGGTGTACTTTCTTCTTAAGAGAAGGGGGTTGAGCAACCCTTGTGTAAAGCCTAAAGCTTGTGTGCTGTGAGTGTGTTGGGAAGAAATCACATCTCTGACCAACATGGCTTTCCTTTCAAGCGCAGGCTACACTGTAGGTATTTTTATGGTTTGAGTTTGGTTTCTTTTTTTAAACATATTTCGAGTTTGCTCTGTACTGAACAAGTGCTTGAAGAAGGAGCCATGAGAATTGGGTTTTCTTTGTAGATGAAGAAAAAAATTCAGTAGGGCTAATTCTGTTGTTAATATGCAAGCCTTTAAGTCATAAAGGCTATCTGATAGGCTTCTGCACTTGCAGTAGGCAATATTTCAGTTGTCTGCTTTTTAATATTGCTTCTAACATGTTGTGCCACAGAACTGGTTTCTGCAGAAATGACATTAAATATTGAGTGGGCTAAACAACATATCTTAGCAGTTTAAAATTATCTATGGTGAAGCCAACAGAGAGAGCATTCTTTGTCGAAGTACTGATTTATAAATCTGATGGATATGAGTCAGTGTTATGCTGGCAGTGGTTTATTATATTTCAGCCTGGACTTGAATAGCAGGAAGTCACTTTTTGGCCCTCTTGTAAATCTTGGGATGCCTAAGAGACCTATTTCCCTCCTCCTTGCACAGGGACTGTCAGTTTTCCAGTTAGCTTCCTTCTCTTGCTGCTTCTCCCCTTCATCCCGCTGTCACTTTTATTTTGTGAATTTTCTATTTCTAAACTGGAATGTGAAGTTTTGGGGTATATTTGGTTACACTTTATGTACATCTGCAGGTATTGCTGCCACAGCTGAGTGTCTCTGTGCTCTGAGACTTCACCTAGATGCTTATGGATTGCACGTGCAAATAGTGCAGGGCATTCATATTGAATGAGGGGGGCAGGAGCACCTTGCTGGGATTTAAAGCTGCAATGGAGTCTTAGGATGGAATCAAGGAATGGAGTTAGGATGGGGGGAAAAAAAGGCTGGAGAAGTGTAGAGCTAGGGATGTCTCCTTGCTTGGGGTTGAAGGTTCAGTGGCAAAAGCTGCAATAGGTAGTCATGGTTTCTTGCGCTCCCATCTTTTTTGGCTGATGTACTCCTGAAGGAGCATATCGCTGAGAAGGACAGCAAAGGACCCCATAGGTGGCTGCTCCTTCTTTGAGAGTAACAGAATTAAGATGAAAACTGCACTGATGCTTCAGGTCTGGTCTGTTCCCATGATAAAATTATTTTTAACGTACGGCTGCATTAGCTCATATGCTTTTGAGGGATGCAAAGTTGTGCTGCAAATCTAGAGTGTTTCCTCCTGTGGCGTGCTCAGCCGTACAGAATAGAGGGAGCGCAAAGTCACACGTGTCTGTGCCTGCGTGTGTTCTGATGCTGTAGTGTGTATATAACATACCTTACAGCTGTAAGCTCTAGTTGGTTACTCAGAGTATTACTCAGATGAATACCCTTTATCACAACTGATACTTATGTTCCCATGTTGCAGTTCCTTTTTCAGAAGGAGAAGTTCCTTGCTTTACTGGAGTGCTCAGGGACATGCAGTGCACGGGTGTTACTCAGTAGATACCTGTCTGTTGTCTTACTTGATTTTAGGTCTTCTTCATAGTTTTTTCAGTCCTTTTTCATCACCACAGATGTATAAGGTAAATTCCCAATTCCTGAAACTTTTCTTAATTTCAGTGGAGCAAAGATCTCACATCTGCTGTATTTTTGAAGCAATAATCTTGCTTGTACTTGCAGTAGACTAGTTTTTTGCTTTGTTTTTGTGAAAGCAAAATGCACAATCAGGTGTAATCTCATTGGATTTTGTTTAGTGTACTGTACAAGTCACAACTTCAAGATTACAATAATTGTTATGTTGGCAATGCAGTGTGAGTTCAGGGTTACTACTGGGTATTGGAGGGTGATTTTTTCAGTGCATGGGGGCTGTTTTCTATTTGAGGAACAATCCTGGCTCTAAAACTGAAAGTGCGTGCTTATAAGGGAAAGGATTTTAAACTTTGCCATAAAATAATTCCATTCTGCATAAGCTTTCTGACTGGTGACAATAATGTGGGTCTTCCTCTATCTTTTTTTTTGAGGACTTTAAAGTATAATTCAACTTAAATTGTGCTTTTATCTTACAACAAATACATGAAAATGAGAATTGCAGTCCTGTCTGAGGGGTTTTAAAGCTTTTGATAAGTATTTTCCAACAAAAACCAACTCTGTCCGAAACGGTTGCTCAGCTCTCCTGGTCTATGTATTTCTTTACCATGACCTTCCTCCTCTTCTGTGATCTGGTTTGCTGTGGGAGAGTGAACTTGGGCTGGTCTCTGGTCTCCTCTTGGTGCTTTGCCAATCGTTGTGTACATAATTTTTTTCACTCTCTCAGGCTGAACTCTTACCTGTGTAAAAAGTACTTGTACCTTATTCCCATATTGAAAAGGAAATATGGATATCAATATACCAGTTTAGATAAGTGCACTTGTCATCTTAGATATTTATATTAAACTACAATATATTAAATAACGGCCATTCTGAATCTTACCTACATCAGTGCTTAAGTAAAGAACTATTTATATTGGTACAAATATGAATATAGGGCATGCAAATTTGAAGTTTTAATAGGGGGAATATATTATACAGGAAGAAAAACATACTTTAAAAAGCTAGGAAATATCAGCGTGAAAACTAACCACAGTCACCCTCTCTGTGTGTATGCTGCATGGTAAGCCCCTCCATACCATATAATTAAAGACTGTCTTGTATGGTTTACATTGTATTTTTTTTCCACAGGGCTGGTACTTCATTCAGGGCACAAGATGGATGTTGTGCAGTGAATGAGCAGCTATTCAATATTCTTACCCTTCTCATACAATGTGTCACCCTGTGCCCTATTTACGACACACCATCCATACCCTGTACTGAATGAAGAACTGTTGAACTTGTCATGGGCTTTTCTGTAGTACTGATCACTGCAGGGACTGAATGCTTCATAAATGTCAGTGCACAGCACTGCTGTGAAATGAGGTGGTATCGTTCTCCTTTCATGGGTGCCAGAGAGGGAAATGCCAACAAAGACTACAGCTAAAATTGTCTACAGCTACCGCTGATTTTAAATGCCCGGTCTTTGCCTAACACTAATTTTTCTCTGTAGCACTCCACTTTTTTTTTTTTTTCTTTTAGTAACGCTTCATGTGTTTAGAGCATGGACCTCATGGTTGTGAACACGCAGCACTTTTGCAAGGCGAGCTTTAGACGCTCTGAAGTGCAACCCAGGGAGCAAGAAGCACAGATGGGTGCCTGCTATGGAAGCTGGGTGCTGCTTGGTTGGCTGTGGCAGCTCTGCAGCAGTGAAGCTGGTCTGGTTTTCCAGGGCAGCATTTAATGGCAAGTCCCACAAGATATCCTTTCTCTTGTTGTGACTTCCTATCTTGCTTGCTTACAGTGAGGTGGTTATCCTGACACTGCTTCTCTCAGGAATCAGACGGGTAGGGAGGGGAAGACACCCAGTTATAACGATAGGCATGTGTTCAAGCACTTGATGAAATTCCAACTCACAGGAGCTTGTCCCTGTTGTCAATGACTTCACTTACAACCAATTTGGTTTTTATGCCC